GTCACAAAAACACAACATTCTCCTCATCTTTCGTCGATTTGTAAGTTTCGGCGGGTGTGCCTTCTGCAATAGACGAATGGTAGAGTTGATGGAATTTTACAGATCGCTCACACAGTTGAACATTGTACCAATTGTTGTTTATCCGGAAACTGAGGAAAGAGGAGAAGATTTTTTCAATTCTGTAAGTTTACTACTGTTCAATGTTCAATAATATTAAATATTAAATACTATATTTACAATAATAATTAACTATTACTATTGAATATTTAACAACTTACAAAAAAAATATTTAAAGTGGGAAATTCCCGAAATTTCATCACTCATTCGCGTTCCCGATCCAAACAATGAATTCGCCACTGTTTTTGATATTTACTCCGGCTCAGTTTCCAAAAAAGTAATCCTGACCTATCTCATTCCACAACTACTACTCACCAAAATGGATGGATTCTCACAGGAACGTAAGAAGAGGGATGAATACCATGGGAAAAGTTTCTACATTCGACCTGCAATGTTTCTGATTAGGAGAGGGAAGGTCATCCATTCGTGGCGATTGAATTATGCCGATCATTGTCCTAAGGTTTTGGAAGAAATTGTTTTGAAATTGGATTTGAAAAGTGGTGGAGGTGATGATTTGGAAAGTTTGAAAATGAATGAGAAAAATGTTGTGAAAATTGAAAGTAAGAAAGTTATTGGAAAGGAAGAAGAGATGTTGAATGAAGTTTCTAATGAAAATGAAACAAGGAAGGAAGAATGTCAAAATGTAATAATGGAAATGGAATTGAAAGAATGTGAATCTCAAATCAAGGAACAAATTCAAATGGAAGAAACTAAACTTGACGAATCTACCCTTCAAACCATTGAAATTTCCACACAAATCGACATGCCAATCATTGACACTTCTAGAGAAATTCCAATCTACAAGAGAAAACAAGCAAGCTCATCATTGGAAATAATCACACCAACTGAAAAGAAGGAAAATGAAAAAATTCAAACAATCAAAGCAAAGAAATCTCTCCAACCTAAATATTCCTGTTTTGGAAATCGAAATGTGGTAGGAGATTCGGATTTGAACATGTTGGTAGTTTTGGAAAATCCGAAACTTCGTAAATATTTCAAACTGTTTGCACATATGGAATTTAATATTGAGAATATTCTATTTTGGGAAGAAGTTAATACTCACTACAAGCCAATTGCTTCATTTTCCAAATTTGACAAGACGAAATCAATTGCTACAAGTATTGGAAACCTTTTCCTATTCGATTCTCATTCAGTCATGCACGTAAATACTTCGGATAAATTAAGGGAACAAGTAAGGGAACAAATTCAATTTCATTTCGAATCAAAATCCATTACTGAACTATTACCATCGAAATATAGAGTTAATAGATCATTAGAAGACACTGCTGTCGATCCACTTTCGAATACACCAGAAGAATCTGACAACATTTCACAACTTTCAATTGCTGATCGATTTAATGAAACAGTTACTGGAATATTTGATCCCATCATTAACGAAATGTTATCCTCTTCCATACAGGACATGTTTTTAAGATTCAGGACAAGTGATTTATTCTCCCAAATGATTTCTTCAGTAAAATAAATCTACAGATTTTTGGTCAACTAATCCAACATGATTACTATATGATTTTTATACACTTTGGTTACAATGAGTAGAGTGTTATGTGTAGTAGAACATGGAAACATGGAAAACATGGAAACATCCACAAGAAGAACAAGCTGGTACTCACTAGTTTCGTATTGACCTTATGGTTTCACATTTTGTAATAAAAAAGTTTTAACAAGTTGCGTTTTCAAAGGTATTACAATCCAAAAGAGTGAGGTGAATGGATATTGTTATTTCGATTTCCTTATGTCGTTCATAATCATGAAATGTCATGATTATTTTTTTTATTGACATGTAAATGGTTCCAGTTGGGTTAATCGATGTTTCGAACAATATTGAGAGATTACCTCTTGAATGTAGCTACAATTCATGATAAATCAGCTTCCATTACAAATATTCGTGAGCCTCTCCCGTGATTTTGATTTGCTTTTTTGGAGTATTACATATTGTTTCGAATAGTTTCCACAAGTTATAATAAAAATCAAGAAAAAATAGAGTAACAACAATAATAATGGATATACTCAAAGCCAAACTCAATCCTCAACATGCTGGCATGCTGCTTAGAGACCAGGTGTTAAAAACAGACAAGGAATGGAATGTCCTCCCATCAGATTCGAATAACATTCCTTACTATTTCTTCTGGTTGATGAATCCTGATAATCAAGCAGCCGCTCAACTGCAACATCGCTTACTCATCAAACAAGCAACTACTCCACAAGAACTCTCTTATAACTCTCTATTAGAAACTCTAAACGATAGAGATGACATTTACCATGATGAACAAGATTGGTTTCAGAGAGAATTATACGATTTAGATGTTCAGAAGGAGAATCTCAATGAATACTTTTACTACTTTCAAAAGCATACGACTAAGAGTATGTTGAAGGTGCATGAAAACGTTCATGATAGATGGGCACAGTTTTCTCGAGTGGTTAGGGAACCAACAGCAAACGAAAGTCAACTAAACATATTCGAAACCTCAAAATTCACTCCCATGCAAAGTATGAATAATAGATCCCACTTTATTGTTGCGCTGAAGATATTGGACACTGAATATCATGCACAGAATCCTACAATGCCACCAAAATATAACTCTGTTGGTCATGTTGCCTTCTCTGTAAAAGATCTATACATTGATGGGAAAGTTTACAAAGTTGGGTTGGCTGGTTCTGGATGGTGTGCTCAGAAATACCGTACCCAATGTCCATCTATCAAGTTTAGTGCATGGTTTATGAAGATTCTAATGATGATTCACATGAATATTCGTTACTGCTATGCCCATGTCTTTGCTGAAAATTCGAAAAGTTTCGGTTACATTGCAAAGAGTGGAATGGCTGCAACAAGATTTCGTTTAAAGTATTTAGGTTTCAATTTGAGTTTAGAAGATCATGTCAACATTTCTTCCTTTGACTCTCAAAAACAATTGCAAAACAAGGCAACTCCTCAATTGACCGATCTTCACAAGGTCCAATCTTTGGAAGAATACAAAACTCTGATGGACAAAATCTATGGGAAATCCAATTTCCTCATCACACACTTGGACAACATCTTTTACCATCCATTCTTTGCTGGATGTTTCATTGACGAGAAGGCACAAGCTTCCTTCCAAGTATGGAAATGTAAATATGCCACCGATCAAAAGACAAACACTCAAATTCCAGCATTCATCATCTTTAACACTGTACATTTATCACAATGTGATATTCCACTCACTTCTCAACAAGGTGATCAACTCATGCACTCCATTCGTGAGTCACTCATTCCACAACTTGTCAAACAAGATACCAAACTTGTCAATTTAGCATTTGCCACTCATGGCGGATCCATTTATCAATATCTATTGAGAAATTACTCCCATTTAGAGAGTATTTCATTTGCCTCATTGTACTATACCTTTCAGGATAACTTTAAATTGGCTGGCTTGACTAAGAGAGCTCAGCAAACATCTCTTGATCCAGTTTCGAAATTCCTCATGCCATCTCAACAAGATTCTAATGAAGAAGAAGCAACAGGTCAACAAGAACAACATATGGAGAGGAATCTCTTTTTGGATATCAGAGATTGCACTGGTAAGCCAATGGTATGGTCGGAGGAAATTAAGGAAACTGAGATGGCCACAATCAAACATGTTTCATTGTCTGCATCTGGCATTGTTGATAGAACAGCAAGACTTGCTGATCAATTGGCTACTAGTAAGAGTACTCCTCCTCCTCCAATTGCTGTATCTTCTCCATTCACTTCACATTCATTGTTTGCCTCCAAATTGTAACATTCTTCCGATAATAATAATTATTATTATACTATTATTATAATAATACTCATCATTAAAATCATGTAAATATTATATTAATATTGTTAGTAATATATTATTTAATTCCGATAATAAATACTAAAATCATCATCATCAATAAATTAATTTAATTTAACAAAATTGGTTTAATTGAAACCCAACAATTCAATTTCAAAAACAAGAGTAGAATTTGGTGGAATGCTTGGAGGTGCACCTCTTTGACCATATCCATAAGTTGAATCCAATTCAAAGATACTCTTTTCTCCGACCTTCATTGAAAGACAAGCATGTTCCCATCCACTAATAACTTGATGAGCACCTAATTTGAATTCAAAAGGTTGATTTCTAGTACGAGAGCTATCAAATTGAGCACCTGTTGATTTAAGAGTTCCTACATAATGAACACTGACTGTATTTCCGTTTGATGGAGAAGCAGCATCATCCTTTGCAGCAGTGATAATCTTCTTCTTTACCAATCCGTCTTGAGTCAAAGAAATCCACAAAGCAGCCTTCTTTTGTTCCTTTGCATCCTTCTTCTTTTGTTTTTGTTCATTCTTCTTGGCCATATCTTGCAAGAACTTTAAATCATCATCATTTTGCTTTTTTGTTGTTGGGGCCTTCTTGTTGGTCATTTTTTTTAAATATTAATTTTCAATTTTTTAAAAATAGAAATTTCACGATTTCCTTCAGAATTTTTCAATCTTTTCATGAATTTTATTAAGGTGATAATCTGTTCGAAACGATTGATCTATTGGTTGTATCAATTCTCAAAGGAACAATTACATGGAGGAAATCAAGTTACAATAGAAATTTAGTTTACTTTCAATTTATTGTGAATTAGAAAATGAGAAACCTTAATAAACTGGCCGTATTTGGCGACCATCATCAATGTTTGAATTGTTGAGAAGTGAATCATTCAGAGAAGATTTTTCATTCTTCTCCAAATCCTTCTTCTTTTCACTAGCTCTCTTTTTACATCGATCTGAAATTTTAATAAAACTAAAGAGAAGCATAGTTGAAAAACAACAACATGAGCATACGAGAATTACTGAACAAGTAATTATTTCATCAACATTATATTGTATCTGGTGAGAATAGTAAATTCCATACGCTGAACCTCCAACTAGTGCCATTGCAATTAGAAGCGCAAGAATGAAAAAGCAATAAAGTACTGAGGGTGGTAATGGTCGAACTGTTACGGGGGGAAGTTGTCGAGCTGGGACAACTGGCTCGTAGACCTCCTCTACTCTATGGACTGTGATAATGTAATTTCCTTTCTTGATTACTGACATTTTTTTATGTGATTTGAATTGCAAGTAAGAATAACCAACTATTTTAAACCTCTGCAGACGAAACGTGATTTCTCAAAATAGATAATGCCATAACGTGATTTGAATTATGAATTTGAATATTAGAATCTCTTTTCATTCATTAGTTGATGATGACAATTCATATTGTGTAAGATCAAATCTGAAAACAAGTTTATGTGTATTTTTTAAGGGTTGTGTGTACAATATTTACAGTAAAGGTAAGAAGTTTAGTTTTTTACCTGTAGAATGATGTGACCATGTCAGTAACAGAATCCTCATAAACTCCAATAATGTGCATGAGAATGATACCAGCAGTGACGCTTCCAATGGCATAGTAGAGCTTGGTTGGGAAATCAGAAGTTTGAGCATCCTTATGAACCTTCTTTTCAGTCTTTTCATCTTCGTTTTTAATTTCTGGAACGGCCACTAATTCACTACTTTCCACTAATTGATCCAAGATTATTGGAATCATGGATGTGGCAATGTACATAAAACTACCAGCACTCAAAGCAACCAGATGCTTTTCATTAATAAACAAAAATTCAAATCCATGATCAGATGTCAAAATTAATCCAAATAAGCAACCAACAACTGACAAGACTCCACTCAGGAAATTGAAGAATAGAGCCTTCTTTACACTAAATCCAGCACTCAATAAAATTCCATAATCTGACAATTCTTGTGGAATTTCATGCATACAAATACACAAAACATTGGCAATACCAACAGGAATTGAAACTTGAAAAGCACCTGCAATTCCTGCACCATCCATAAAATTGTGAATACCATCTCCAATCAAATTGATCCATCCTACTGCCTTAATATGAGAATGACCGTGGTGGTGAGAGTGTCCTCCTAATTTCACCTCATTGGCCTTCTCCTTCTTTTCCTCTCTCCTTTGACGAACTCTGAGATAGACCTCAATCAACAAACACAAGATGAATCCAAATAATATGACAAATGAGTGACCAGAAGCTTCCAAATTATGAACATGTTTTCCTCCACTGCCATGACTGTGACCACTATCATGGCTGTGTTCTTCCGAAGCATAGAGAATTGGCAACAAGTGCAAGAAACAATCTCCTAACAAGGATCCAACAGCCAAACAACTCAATATAAATTGTAAATTACTCATTGTTGCACCATTCTCTTGTCCTCTAATACCATAAAACAGTAAACTAGCCCCAACAAAAGACAATAAAGAAACTCCAAAGGAACTTCCCAACGAATACATCCAAATCGATAATTTAGAAGGTTGATGTTGTTGCTTTTCTTCATGAAGGTTGTGATCATGGTGATGATGATCTCCTTCCTTGTGTATTTCTTTTGTTTCCAATAAATGTCGATGAATTTGCTGATGTTTTTCATTGTTATTATTTGTATTAACTTCCTTGTGCTCATAATGATGCTCGTGATGCTCATGTTCGTGATGATGCTGGCACTTGTGTTTCTCCGAAGAGTGTTGTTTATGATGATGGTGATGAGATCCATGAGCATTCACGAGTGAAGATTCGTAATGATGAAAATTTAATAACAACAAGCTCGCCACCAACACAACTCCCATCAGCAATAACAAGACGGCTGAGAATCTTCGTGGCCGCTTCTGTTGTTGTATTAAAGACATTTTTTTGTAATTTAATATTTATTATAATTTAATTTATTATTAATATTGATAAGGTCCTAAATTGAACTCTTAGTAGCATTCGTAGTCACCCTTAATATAGTTGTTGGTTTTGCTATTGGAAATCTGTAAATGCAAAGCAACTAGAGTAATTAAACAAGTTGGTTGAACCCAATTACTTTATTGGATGTGGTGTTATTGGAACGGATGAGATTTTAGTTGCGATCCAAAAATTGATACTTTCCATTTAATAACAGCTTTGACATTTGCAACTTTTATGGATCAAAGGGAGAAAATATGAAATTAGATTGAGTGAACCTTGTAAATACTAAACAACAAATAAATGATGCAAGTTCATCAAAAAAAAATGCAAGATTTATCCATTCTCATTCCACCAGAATTATGGCGAACTGTTTATTCATTCCTCAACACACCATATCGACCACATTTTGAAAGAGTCAATCTCCTATTCAGATCTTTATGTCTCGAAGAGGAAAGAAGAGAAATCAATGAAATATTTCAACTCCACAATAGGTATTTGTTAAAGCCACTATGTGAAGCACCTGTTGCAGAGGAAAAGATTAGAAAAATTGAAGAAATGATTCAGAGAAAGATTCCTTTCCACTTGAGAGAATTTATTAAAGTATCGGATGGAAGAATCAAGACTATTAGAAGAAGAGAAATGCCTTCAGTGATTAATATGTCTCCTCATTGGAGTAATTGCTTGTATAGTTTTGATAATTGGTGTTTTTCTGGAAGATTTTTGACAATTTCAACTTTTCACAAACAAAAAACAGAGTTTCGTATTGACTTGGAGAATGGGAAAGTAGAAACTTGTTCAAACTCATGTAGAGAAGGGATTTCTGTAAAGGAGTGGTTGAAGATGAGCTTTGATTGTTCAAGAACTATTAATCCATTTAATATTGACAAGCTATGTCATGAATCGAATAGAAATGATCTGAAATCAATTTTAAGACATTGTGGGTATTTATTTGAAATATTACCAGAAAATCTCAGAAAAGATAGAGAACTTGTAAAAAGTGCTTTAGTTTCGTCCAATTTACCTTTCCGATTAACCAGCAAAGAGATTGCAGATGACACTGAATTAGTGAGATGGTATTTCGAGAATGGAAACACTAAATTTCAATATCTTTCAGATAAGTTTCGACAAGATAAGAATCTAATACTCAAATATTCCAAAGAATGGGAAGATGCTCATGAATCCCTTTACACCGATACGGAAATATTATTGCACTATTTAAAGACGAGTAGACAGAGAATAGTTCCAGAGTTGAAAACTCTCTCAGAAGATTTGATTATTGAAGCCACCAAATATGGAAAAGAAGTTAACATTGACAATTGCTTTTCTAATGAGCTTGTTCTAAAGATGTTGGAATATACAACACCCAAGGAAAGAAGTTTACTTGGAAAGAATCTCAAAAACCATGAAAAGAGCCTTGATGAGAGAGTTCTGAAAAGACTTTTTGAAGTGAATCCAATTTTTGTGTGTCTCAATTTTGAAAATGAGAATTTCAAGTTGACAAAAGAACAACTATTACTTGACTTGACTGAATTGGGAGAAAACTTTAAGAATCTTCCTTATCAATGGAGAATGGATAGAGAGGTAGCAAGAGCAGCCACTCAAAAACAGTTTTATAATTACATATATCTTGATAATGAATTGGCAAATGACATTGAATTCCTGGCACCAATTCTTGAAAATGCAAAAATTCCACTTTCATTGCCACAACAATATTTCAATCAATTACTTCGAGTTATTAATAAGGATGAGGAAATATTGAGGAAGATACTAACCAATAATCCATCATTACTTGCTCATACTCCCAATTTGGATGAGGAATTTGTTAATTCTTTGGATTTTAAATATTGTAGTGGAAGATTTATTGAAATCTTGCAAAGGACTAGTTTCGAACAATATTGCGAGCACTACAAGCAAAATTATGATTATTGATGTAAAGGTCAACTTTAAATGTTCTGGTTGACCTTCCAAGGATGTGTGGTGGCATCCAGATTAGAAAGTATTAGAAACTTCTTAAGCATGGATATCTAGATATGGAAAGCGAATATTTCTATAAATGCATTTTTGTATGAGCAACTTGGGAAAGTGAAGATACGATACAACGAAACTGTAATGATACGTTTGTATGCCACGTCTGGAGATTGGCTTCGCACATGATTTTAAGCAATTTGGCAAAACAACTTTTTTGTGTTTTAAAGTGCTTTATTTTGAAACAACACAAGAAATCAAACAACAATCTTTTGATAATTAGCTGAAGATTGAGCCAACTTTGAAATCTTTTCAAATAACATCAAGTCTTTATTCAATAATTGCCAAATCCTTAAAATTTTCATCTCACGATCTGGCAATTTCTGCAAACTAGTTGAGAATAGGTTTAGTTTAGTCTTGTCCACCTTCTATTTCAGTATTTTGTTGAAACACTGAAAACCGCTACATATCCATCTCCACTAATTTTAAAAATCTAGTCATCAAATATGGAATATTTAAAAATCTCTATATAAAACCCTTCCTTTACTTATTGGCGATCGCTACAATGCAATTCCTTAATAGCTTTATTCGAAACTTAGAAAGTCTTTATAGCCAAGCTTCAAACACTATCAAAAAAACATTCAAACTGGTTTAGAGCATTTGTTCAGTCTTTAATTCAACGTTTCGTACAAAATAGACAGCTTACTTTAATTTATTAGAAACTCCAAGCTAACCTAAAGGTTTCGAATACTTCATCCCTCCTATTTCAAATTTACTTCCTCGATCAGTCAATAAGAAACTTGGTCATTGTACATTTCAGATAAGCTGTTATCTAAAAGAAATTTAATATTTATGTAGATTGCTGACAAGTTGCTTATTTGGAAACACCTAATTTATCTAAAACAACATTTTGCAATGTGTCTTCACACCCAGAAAAAAATGTCAAGTCCTTCAACCTCAGTTTCGAATAATTTGGTTTCGTCTGGTTCATTTCACTTTCACAATTTTGATCCAAAAGCAAATGAAGAGAAGAAACGATTGAATAGAGAAATGATTGCAAAGAATACACATAATGGAATGGCATTTAAACCAAGCAAGTATATGGTTGATATTCAACATTCGAATAATAATCAAAGACAAGTTTCACCTGCATCTCCAGTTTCGTATAGAACAAGCCGATCAAATTCTTCTTCGAACAAGTCTGCTGCTAAAACGATTAGCAATTCTCATTCATCGATTTCCAAACAACACAAGCTACTTTCGAATAATCACCAATACTCTAAGAGTAGAATCTGTGAGAAACAACTGACCATTAATGCTTCTGAATGGAACTCCATCAAGCAATCTATTGAATCAAGAAGCAGAAATGTTTCTAATTGTTCAAATTCAAGCACTCTAAGCAAATCTAGTTGTTACATTGACAAAAACTCTGTAAATGGTGATTATTCGAAAGGTTTCGTAAATTGCCCGTCCAACCGTAACTATTCAAGCAACTACCAAGTCTATTCTCCTCTGGCTCACTACTCTGAATACTCTCAAAATATATCACTAAGCAACACATCAAATCTGCCAAGTCAATTATCAATCAGCAAAACTATTCCACTAACCAGTTCAATATCACCAAATAATGTCCCGTTCACCCGCTCCATGGCCACTCATTGTGAAAGATTACCCTCCATTCAACATTTACTTGAAACTATTCCAATAACAAAATTCGAAAGACGAAACAATAGTCAATTAAACACAGTTTCAATAATTGAATTGTTGAAACAATAAATGTCATGAATTAAATTGCCTTCAAAAGATGTTAACTCTGCATAACATTAAAATTTGGAAAACCAAGATTTCCCTTCCTGCCAAGTTGTCATTCCCAAAATGGACAATTAAAAAAGTTGAAAGGCCAGTTACAGAGATAAATGCCGACGCATCTTTTATCGAATTGGTAACATCATACTAACATGAAGTGGTTTGTTTTGCATCAAAAAAAACAAAAGAAATGCAACAAGACAGTCCTCGTCAAGTTTTGAATGCAAATTGTAATTATTCAAGCTCAACTGTTGTGAGTAGAAGGAAGGGAAGGGGAACGTCTGGAAAATGTAGTGGAATGATGGAGAGTCATCATTTGGTTTCGAATAATAATCCATGGTTGAGGTTTCATTCTTATGATCCAGTTGAACATGAAGAAAAGAAGAGAAAGTTGAGAGAATACTCAAAACGAAACGCATACAAGGGTTTACACTTTAGACCAAGCAAGTATAATCAAGAGGTAGTTAAATTTTCAGTACAAGCTCCTAACATGTTGAGTGAGCAGAATCTAACAGAAAGGTCTGTATTAAAAGTTGATGAGAAGGCATGTAGTGCACATCAAGTGATCACCAACTCAAAGATACCACTCACTCATTTTCAAGTTTCTTCCATTATTCAGTTGGAATCGAATAGCTTAATTTCAACAACAAACAACATCCAAGCACCAACCGCCTCCAAATCAACATGCATTCAATTCACCCATCAAAACTCTAGAAACGTTCTTCCCTCCATAAATGAAATACTATCTCTCTCCAAAATTCAAAAAGCACCACACAAAATGATTCACAACTCATCTCTCCAAATCATCCAACAAAACTCAATCAATTCTGACAATTTTCAATTGGAAAATCTAACTCTTGCACCAATCAACATGTACTTCTAACTCTCCCCAACCATTCCCACACGATCATTCTCAACCAATTCTCTCATTCAATTTTACAATAAACCACTCAAGAAAATCTTCGAACGATGTTCTTGTTCAACAAAAAAGCTCAAAATCAAAAAAAACTCTTAAAAATAAAAAAAAATGGGAAAGAGAGAATTATACAGAAATAAACAAGCTTTGGCTAATGCTGCTCCTCTGGCTCAAGCACACTCCCAACCGCTTGGTATTACCATCGGAGCACGTACATCTAATGTAAAGATGCCTAAGGAGGCCATTCCAGCCATCTATTATGAAAAGATTTTAAAATACATGAAAACAAAGGAAATGTTGAATGATATTGCAGGAGCTTGCACTAAATATTTGTACAAACCATCGGATTGGAAGTATTATTACTTTGAACATCGTTGGAAGGAATATTCTAACGTGAGAAGAGCCTTGCGTAAATTAATTCAAATGGGAACACTTCAAGTCTTGTTGAGAGGAAAGTATTATAAGGAAGAGACTTCTGATCCAGAAGCTATTACAAGTGGTGGTGCCTCTTCTTCTACTGATAATAATCAATCAGCTGATGCTAGTAATGTTGCTTCCGAAGAAGTTTTACAAGTAAAAGAAGAAGAATTTGAAACTTTTGTAATTGGAGGAAGAACATTAACTAGAAAAAAGTATGTAAAGGCTTCTTCTGTGCCATCGAATAAGAAGGCCACCACTCCAGTTGATCAAGAGGAAATTCAAATTGAAGAAGAAGAAACAATTAATCAACAAGCAATGAATAAGAAGAATAAGAAGAAGAATAAGAAAAACAAAAAGAAGGATCCTTTTGAATTGGATGAGGAAAATGATGATCAAGATGATGGAACTTTTGATGGATTTGAAATTACCAGAGATGAGGATCGTCCACAATTATATGAATTGAATGAATGGAAAGATGATCCAAAGAAGAATAAGAAACAAAATAAGAAACAAAACAAAAAGCAAAGTTCTAGTTTGGAAATTGAAGAAGATACTTTTGTAAAGGAAGAAGAAGGTGGTGATAAGGGAATTCCTTCTAAAGCTGTACATATTGATTTTAATAATATCAAAAAGATTGTAAAGGCAACTGAAAAGATTGATTGTGCTGAAAATGAAGCAGTTCAGAATATTACTCTCAACTTGACAAGAAAATCAAAGGAAGAATCATCCAGCTCTCAGAAAACTGTGATTCAGGTTGTTAAAGGTGACATGTTGGAAACTGCAATTAGTTTGAGAAGGATTTGTAAACTTAATCCACTCGTTTTGGTCTCTGGTAGCCAAACTGTTCCAGGAGGATCTTTTGCTAAGGGAGGAAATACTCAAGAGGAAGATTTCTGTAGAAGATCATCATTGTCTTTAGCAATTGCTGATCCATACAGATTTGATGAAACTAGAGAGTGGACTTACCCATTACCTGAATTTGGAGGAATTTATACACCAAATGTTGTAGTGTTAAGAGGTCCAAAGAGCGATGGATATGCCTTCTTGGATAGAACATGGGCTTGCTCAATGTTTATCACCTATCCTTATGTGAATCCACCAACAGAGAAGAGAAAGGTAGCCGATCCAAATACTGTCATTCCAAATGAAGAGGACGATGACGAAGAAGTAACAACTGAGAATTTCCTCTCTACCAAATTGTCCAACTCAATGAAGAAGAAGATTGCTGCCTACTTTGATGTTGCATTAAAGAAGGGTCATGATTCTCTTGTTATTGGTGCTCTTGGTTGTGAAAATACTCACTCCAATCCTGCCTATCATATTGCTCAACTTTTCAAGGAAGTATTGGCAAGTGAAATTTTCAAGGACAAGTTCAAGGTTGTCATTTTCTCTATTTTGGTTGATAAGGAAACTGATAGCAAGTTGGCCAATGAAGGTGGTGCTGACGATGTGGAAGAAGTTGAGGATAATGATGACGTCGAAGATCAACAAGATATCTCAACCAATCTGCTCGATACTTCAATTGAAAGAAAGAATAATCTTTCAGTATTTTCCAAATTATTCCACGGAAAGGAAGAAGCTCCAACAGCTGAAGAATTCATTCCAACCATTGAATGTAAATAAACATATCTGTGAATAAATCGTTGAACATTTTCAATAGAATTTTTTTGCTAGATCAGAAATTAATTGATCATCAAATATTATTCTAAATTAACTTTACAATTTTTAATTTACATAAATATTAATTACTCTTGTCTGATTCTTCGCTCTTCTTGGCATTCTTGATGAGCCATTGTAAAGTCTTGTCAATATTTACAGAATTTTTAGCACTAATTGAGTAGCAAGATACTTCTCGTCCAGTAATAAGTTTGAGATCCAATTTGTCAATTAATTCTTGTACACCTCTAGCATTTGGTAAATCATTCTTATTTCCAAGTACCAGTAAAGGAATAGTCGAAAGAGAGGCTTTTCCAACCAATTCATGAAGCTCCTTTTTGGCTACTTCCAATGTTTGTTCATCACTTGCAGAGTCCACAACATATACAATAGCTCCAACTCCTCTACAATATCTCTGTGTTTTTTGAAATGTAATATTATAACAATCATAATATTAGATAGAATGTGATGACAACAAGTATGAAATTAAAATTAAATATATTACGTTCATATCAAATACATACCTCCCACATGTTTCTGAATTTGGATTGACCTATTATTGTCAATTTAAATCATCGTTAGTATCATGATAATCCAAAGTTATTAGAAAAATATTAAATGATTAGAATAACAATTTGTCATCACAGTTGAACAACATATGATGGACCATCATCATAGTTAATAGTGATGATTATAATAATAAATAATTGAATAGTTTTCAAAAGAATGACATACCTCCGATATCCCACAACTTGATTTCTACACCTCCTTTACTCACTTTTCGCATATTAAAGCCAATAGTTGGTATAGTATCCTCATTCATCTGACCAAATGAAATTGTATTTACAAGTGTCGTTTTACCAGCATTTTGCAATCCGACCAATGTAAGTTCCAACTCTTGCTTCCAGAAGAGTGATTTAATCCAATCCATCAATGATTTCAAAGCTGCTGCTAACATTTTCCTCTATTATTACTATTATTTTGTACAAATTTTGCTTTCTCTATGATGTGCTATCTCAACGACTACGATAATGATGACTATTAATGACGATGAAATAATATTATCGTTGTTGCTCGGTGATGACAAGATTTTTTTAATAAATTTTTTTTAAAGTTGTTGTTTGCTTTGCAACGTTTATTTGCTAAATTAAAAATTGATGACGAAAATAAACTCGACAACTCCAATTGGAAGAGGTTTTGAAAAAGATTCTCCGGTAAGAGAGACTTAGTGAAACATTGAAGATTGTTAAATAGTATTAATAGAGGAATGTACATTGAATATTTGTTGAATTTGATGAAATAATAATGATATCTGCTGTCAGCCATCAAACAACTTCAGTGAAAGGAAAAACAAAAAAATGGGACAAAACCATTCAGGTGGATCAAATTCTGTGGGTGGAATGGGAGGAACACTAGTTGGAGATCAATACAAACCACCAGATCGTACCACAAACAATCTAGCTTCCTCCTTTCATACCAAAGAATCCATCAAAATTCAACAGCAGCAACAACAACAACCCGATTCAAATACAAACAACAATAATACATCGTCAGGTAATCTTGTTCTGATAGCAGCATCCAACACTTCCGATGCCTTGCTCATGTCCATCGCAGAGTTAGTCATTGTTCTCCAACAATTGGGTGAGATTCATCTCGTTGTCTTGCTGGAGGAAATTTCTCGTCACTACTACGAGATTCAAATTGGAGGCAATTTTTCTTCTCTGGAAGCAATTGCTGCTGCTAACAATAACACACAAGGAAATGGCGCCACTTCTCCAACACAAAATTTACAGGGTGGTGGCCCTCTCGCCAGTACATCATTTAAAAATGGCGCCACTGGAAATTATGGCAACTCGAATGTAGATAATGGTCTGAAGAAGTACATTAATTGTGCCAAGTATACTCCCACTTGGTTGGAAGATGAGGGTGTATTTGGAGGTGGTGGTGGTATCGGAAGTGGATCGATTGGTAGAGGGAGTAGAATTAGTATTGGAGCAACATCAGGAAATAATGGCATGGATGAAGATGATATGGAGGAGGATTATGGTGTAAATTATAATACGGATTCTGCTTTTCAGGTCTGGTTGATTGCATTGAAGGATAGACAATTACCGAGATTTAAGAGAAAATTGGAAAAGTTATTTGTGGATAATAGTGGAGGAGCAAGGAAGGTTGCCTTCTCTTTCAATGTACAAATGTCAACCTCATCGACAAATAGTTTGAGAAGAGCTTCTTCATTCCTACACGCACAAACTAATCCAAAAACTAATTATGTCATTGATATGGATAGTAAGCAGAAATATTTTGAGGTGAGGTCAGAGATGGAAATTATTCTCACTCATACTCTTGAGGAAATTAAAGATTTGAAAGAATGTTTGGATGCAAAGAGAAAAATCGAAGGAGGAACATCAAGTACCAGTGGAGCTGATGTTGCCGATGTTTCGGTTCTCCTTCAAGATTTTGATTTTGAATGTAGTTGGTGGGAGAAGAAGATTGGCTCCTCCAATTTCAGTGTCAAGAAGAAGGCATTTATTGATGCCATTGAAGAAACTTTTGCTCACTTGAAAGTCAAGTTTGAAATTGAGGTTTTGGAAGAGATTTCAGATCCAACTTGTGATGGAGTTGTAAGTGTGACAGATTTGAAAACTCTCACTAGATGGTTGGGCAGTATTTACAAGTGGAATACTGACGAATTGAAATTGAGAAATATTGCTGGAAAAGAAGATGCTGCACCAGTTATTTTCCTTCCTCATTTTTGGGGTTCAGTGACATGTTACGATGCACAAGATATTTTACAAAAGGAAGAACCTGGAACGTACATTATTCGTTTCAATGAGAACGAGCCTGGGCATTACTACATTTCATGTGTTCAGGAAAATGTTGTGGAAAATGAGGAGACTAGCTCAAATACTGGATTTTTTGCCACTCGTCAAGTGTATCACTTTGTATTGAAGAGAGGAAAAACTGAGAAGGGAGAACCTTACTATTACTTGTCCGATGCTGATAAGAGTCACAAATTCAAGACCATTACTGAGCTACTTGATAAGAATTACTTTTTGACATTCAAATATCCATATGTCAATGACGATCTCAAGTCTGCATTTGTTTCAAAGAAGAGAGATGTCGATGTCTTTGGTGCATTGAAGAGTTTATCAGGAGAGGGTGATGATTTGAATCCTTATCCATTTGTTGTATATAAGGGAAAGTTCAATGTTAATGAAAAGAAGAAGGAATCAGACATGAAAAAGATTGCCAATTTAGCTAAAAAGACTACTGAGCCGTCATTGGGCAATCCAGTCAATAATAATTCATCCTCAAGCATTAAAGATCAAGAACCAGGTATGGTACGAGTGGATTCCCTCAATTTACCACTGAGTAATAGCAAGGAAGAAACTTTAGATTTATCTGAATAAATACTTCAGAAGATTCAATGTAAATAGATTAAGTATATTCAATTAAACAGAAAAGTTTGAAACTGGTATGACTCTTGCATTCTTACATAAGAATGTATACCCTGTTTTGGAGTGTCAAGACAATATGATATTCATTGTTAGCTATGGTTACTGGCAATAAAAATATGTGAAGCCAAAAGCTCCGATGAGACGGAATCGAACCGCCGACCACAGGATTACAGTTTTTCTTGCTACAGTCCCATGCTCTACCAGCTGAGCTATCATCGGTTACATATGTAAAGAAAAGTTTTATGTTCATCATGTACTGAGTTCCAAGTCCAATTAAGGGACTTGGGTGAAAACATTGCTCACAATCGTGTAGTTCAGAGTATAAATGTGAAATCGGGTGTGGTATAGTGGTAGCATTCCAGACTGTCACTCTGGCGACCCGGGTTCAATTCCCGGCACTCGAGTAATAATTTTATGTTTATTCAATTCTTCGATATTTTTGCTTTTCAATATTTTGTGATCTGATAGTCCACATCCTTATCTTGATTATTCATTTTTTATTTTTTAATAATTATTCTTATTTCCTTTTTTAGAAGCCTCGTCCTGACCACTATTTTTTTCAAATGAGTTAACAAGCTCTCTAAACTCAAAATCATCATGTTCTATAGAGGAAACGTATCTCTCCCATCCAATGTATGGTAAAATTTGAATAATAATAACAATTCTGAACTTTTCAAAAAAAAATGAAATTTCTTGAACTTCCTCCTGAAATCGCTTGCATTATTCGTTGCTTTCTCATACGGGAAAATAATTCATCATCAATATCGGAATGTAAATTCAAATTTTCACATATTTCTACCAATCAACACGAGGAAATTATTTCATTCTATATGAAATTGGAAACTGAATGGTTTAAATTAAAAAATGATCATATTTGGGTCGATTTATTGGAATATGAAGCTAAAAATTGTAATTTATCTGATTTGCAATTGAGCAAGTGGAAGAAACAATTTAAAAAGAATATCAATTTTAGAAGGAAAGTATTATTAGTGAGATGGGCAAGAGCTCAATATATTACAAATATTTTGGAAAAAGACCTGCCAATGAATGGTGTGAAAGAGAGTTTGGTCTCCTTATTGGGAATAAGTATGTATTATAATGTCGTTTCATATAATTTCTAAATTTCAATTCGATTGTGTGTGAAATTCTAATATATAGGTGGAGTTGGTAAAACATCAATTTGTAATTACTTTGCAATGGGCCATTTCTATGAAGATTATTCGTGTGGAATTGAGGACACTACACGAAAAATGATAAATCCAAGCTTTGGTGGAGGTTGGTGATTCGTATGGAGATTACGAATTCTCAGCCATGCTGGAACACACTCTGAAAAGGTATCATTCATCAATTTATGTATTTTCCACATCTCATTCCCTAGATGAACAAGTTGTGACTTCTACACGAAAGTTGTTTAATTCATTGCTGAGAGCGAGAGATAGGGAGTGGAATGATTTCCCAGTTCTGTTTGCAATTAACAAAGTTGATATTCCAGATCAGAAAAGAAGGAGCTCCATTGAAAATATTCAATCATTCATTGGAACAATTATTGAGGAATTTGATTTGAGAAATACAGCAATATTCGAAACAAGTGCAAGAGAAGGAATTAATATCAATGAAATATTCGAACATGTTGTGCTGAAAATGGAATATTATGAACAGTTTCCATTCCTCCCTGCCTTGGAAGATGTACTTGTTAACGATATTGAAGCCCTCAAAAACTTGGAATTATGGAATATAACAAGAAGAAAACAAAGAAAGTGTCTTGTTTGTTGAAAAGTGGTAGGAGGATAAGCATTAGTTGGAGTCATGATGCTTTGTAATGACTATCATCCAATTTCACCATTTCGAAATCAAGTAAATAATAATATTAATTTGCACAACAATAATTTTTATTAATTGTTGTGGTGCAAAACAGGAGAGAAGTGATGCAACAAAACTATAAACACCACAACCCTTTTTCGTTCAACCTAAGTGACTTCATGTTCGGAAGCGACAAACTTGCTATTTACAAAATAATAACAATAACAAGCTTGGCACTTTCAAAGTATTCCAAAATCTTTTCGCATAGAATCTTTGAGACATGAGGTAGGAGTGCTGTTCTAAAATTTAGAAACGAGCACATCCTGGCGGAAATCACCTCAGTCGAAGATGGAGAGAAGAACCAACACAATTACACCACACTCTCCTCTTTGCTTTTTAGAGATGAGGGCGTTTAGACCTTGGTTGGTGCTCTCTTCAATGCCTTCTTTTCAGCAATCAAAGCAGCATGCTCCTTCTTTTGAGCAACAACTTGTTGTTGTTTATCAATGCTGTTCAACTTCATCTTCATTGGATCTTGACCAGTCTTCAAGGATTCATATCTACAATTGCAGAGGTATCTCTTCTTGGCTCTACCAGTCTTTTCCTTTTCAGTGTTCTTTTGTGGGTCGACCTTTGGAGTTTGGTTCTTAACTTTACCAGCACGTGCGAGGGATCCGTGAACTTTTGCCATTTTGTGTCAATATATTGTTTCTGTTTTTTTTTTGTTTTATTTTTAAAATAATTTTTTATTGGTTGGGTTATTTATTTTACAATGACCGGTTCAATTTTGAGTTTTATCTTACCTTCAGCCAAAATCAAATCTGTACTTGCTTTTCTTTTAATTTACAATAGAAAATTTATTACACAACTAGGTATGCCAATTGTAGTCACCACAACGTTATTAACTGTGAAAAGGTAATTATTTATTCAAATATTATCATGTAAAATAACTACTCTTAGTCTTGGTCTGCATAGACAATTGGTTCACTTCTTGCAAATGAATGGTCATATCTGGTCAAATCAATATTATCCTCAGCCTCACCGAGTCCTGTAATTCCCTTTAGAATGGTATTCAACTCTATTACTTTCCATTCCAATGCATCTTCTGTTGATCCATTGACAAGTCCCAAATCTAATGTGAAATTATCAAATGGAACGTGCTTGGTAATGAGAGAGCACATCTTTCTAATTGGTTCCATCATGTTATCATTATATTTAATATAATTCTTTCCTGTGACAAAGGACCATCCTTCATTTCCTTCATCAATAACATAGTGCAACATTTGATCGATAATGATACATCTCATTTCTTTGAGAATGTTAACTTTTGGTCGAGCAATGTATAATTCTTCATACAGATTCAAATCTCTCATTCTCTCAAAGAAGAGATTGCAACGAGTTGATCTTTGAATGTGATCCATCAATTCATTCCAACCATTTCTGGTGGTTTCGTACAAACATTCTGCAGAAACATCTTTAGGGGAGCAACCATCACATCTCACAAAGACTGAATCAAGATGATGAACTGATTTCAATTCGAGGAATTCCTCCTCTTCCCTAATAATATGAATTGGAGATATTAACAATTGATTAACAGCTTGCTCAGATCCAAACGATTTCTTCAATGTTTCAAACCATTGTGAAAGATCGAAACTTCTCTGAATTTTAGCCAACACAGCAGTCATTGACTTTCTCATAACAAAAACAACATTATCATCGTGAAATAGATCATCTTCCTCGGAGGCTTTCTTAGAATGTTTGATAATAAACTTGTCCATCTCCTTACTCTCATCTTGCTCCAATCTAAATTTTCTAAGATTTTGCAAATCATCAAGATGAATCATTCTACAAGTAGATTCTTCATCACCATTATTGGATTCCTCTGCTTCTTCATCACCATTTAGAGGCTCATCAAGAAAATGATCCATAAAGATTCTCCTAGAGATTAAACTCCATTCATGATTGAATTGTTGAAGATTATTCTCTTCCGAGGAAATAGCTTGCACATTATCCAAATGCGACATTCTACCCAAATCATTCGGATAGGCCCACTTGAGAGAATACATTTGTTTAATACTCTCCTGAAGATTATTATTCGGCAAGGGACGAAACTCTAACTTGGCAACGAACATTTTTTTTCAAAAATTCTTAAAAATAGAAAATTTCAAAGATTTTAAGTGAATTAAGGTGAATGCATTTTGAAATTTACATCTCACACTTGGAATAATTGTTAATGCAGCTTGCTTTGAATTATTTTTCTATTCCCAATCTAGATGGACTAAATGTGTTAAATAGGGAGATGTTGAAATTGGGGCACTTGTGGTCAATTCATTGCATGCTACTGTGAATGATGTTAAATGTTTCAAATTGGGAGTATTGCATAATATTTCACATCCTTCATCCAGTATTTCATTAGAGGAAATGTCCAATTTAGTCAAGTTGGTGAGGGTTTTACTTTCTGCAATTGCCTTGCAACCGTTCAGACCTAGCTCACATTCTTCCACCAATAGTGTTTTCAAATTGGAGGCATTAGGTCCATGGACAATCTTTTCAAATGCTTTACTTCCAATTACACAATACATCAAGGAGAGGAGCGTTAAATTTCTCAAGGCAGGACCATTTCCTATATACTCACAACCTTCAATTCCAATATTGTGACATTGATCCAAAATAAGCTCACTAATGTTGGAGCATACAGAGCTGAAACAGAGATTACGAAGCGAGGATAGCGAGATAGGATTACAGGAAATATTCAAATGAACCAATCGATGTCCAAACAGGGAAATTTCTTCAATAGCACTCGAATTATTTAGACAATCAAAAATTCTCAAAATTTCAATTGGACTAGCTTGAAGGAATTGCCTCAATAAATCAGCACTTATTCTCATTCCATCCATGCGAAGGGATGTTAATTTTGGTAAATATCCATTAGAAAGATCAATCTCACGACAGAATATTTGCAAGGTTTTCAAATTTTCCAATGCTGAAATCTCAATTGTTCCAATGTCATGTCCTTCCAACTCTAAAACTTCCAATTTCGAAAAGGCCCCACTAGAAAAGCTCAAATAACTAATTTCTCTGAGAAAATTCATTTTCAGAACCCTCAACTCTCTTCCTAAATTCTCGAAAATACATTTCAAATTTTTCTGATTAATACTCGGACTGACTTTCAAACTTGTTAATTTTTCTAACATTCCACTCTCGAATATATTTGTTAATATTTCATCATCATTGATATCTTTTACATGTAAACTCTCGATCATGTATTTACATTTAAAATTAACATTACAAGGAAAGTTTCTAATAGTAATAGACAACGGAATATTTCTAGCTTTTTCACACCAAAATTTGTTAATTAATGAGAAGGCTTTGATGATCTCCATGTGATCCGAGAAGAGAAGAATGTGATAAATCTCATCAGAGAGTTGTAATGTCATTTTTTGATGTTTTGAATATGATGTTTACTTTGAATATTTGACAACCAAAAGAAAAAAATAGTAATTTCAATAAATTTTCTAATAGATCACTGCATCACATTCTTGGTAGCAATCATACTGCAAACCAAACTCTCTCAATGCCTCGAGCTGCAGGTTAGGGCCGTTGAAGGGGATTGCTGTGAAGGACCTTCAGTGACCTCTGCAGTTTTATCCTTCTCAAATTTTGTTTGGTATGTTATTAAGAATTCAATTTTCTCTATTAGCCATTGGTGGAGCTATGTTTTTTTCGTTTTCTTAACAACAATGAAAAGTTTACAATGAGAAGAAG